TATCGATTATTATGTACATAATGTTTATATTATAATTAAGAATAGAGAGACACACATATTAAAATAACAATTAAAATTTGGAGGAACATGGGAGATGGCTATGAAAATGGAAAGAATAGTGCGAGCAAATAATAAAAATATTAGTGAAGTGAAAAAAAAGGTGATAAACTGTAGCTAATGTATAAGAGAGATACATGGAATGTTTGTGAGAGCGTGCGTTAGACAAGGGAAGACGTTCCCGGAACGAATGATGTATATGGTGATGATTAAATTGAATAGTAATATAAATAAACAATAAGAATAAAAATCGAATGGAAATTATTGACTAAATGATAATGACCCCGGGGTATGTAGATATAAAATTAAGTATTGTTATTTGAAAATGAATTTATGGAATAACCAGAATGATAAGAGACAATTGAAAATTGTAAAGAAAAAGTATATATTAAATTTCAATTGGGATTAATAAGGAATTGAACAAAATGTTCAAAACATGCATATATGGAGATGAAAACATAAAAGCGAAGCTTCAGATAAAGTTTCAAGAAAATGAAAACTAAGGTAAAAACATATAGAGTTCTATTATTAACTCTACAGTATTTTCTAATATAATTAGTGATGAAAACATTTCAAAGAGATACAAAAAATTTCGACCTATGTGTAATGCATGTAGTAATTGAATGATTCAGCTAATAAAACAAATGTATTCATCAAAAAAAGAGCAAAATATTTCGCAGTACGATTTTGAATGGATCGAAGAGCTAAGGATTGACATTACAGCACACAATATGGGTTAAATTACTGAAAAACAGTTACAGATTTATACAATAATTTCATTAAAAAAAAAAAAAATTCACGTTGAAAAATAATACTTATGACAATGATGAAAAAACGGTGACAAACAAGATCAAAGTGGACAAGAAGATTGTACCTACAAAACGCTTTGGACTAACTGTGTACTAGAATCTTACAGCGAGATTGAATACAAAACAATTTTGAACGGAAAATACCGTCAAAACACAGCATTAATATACTGTAAATGATCCCAGAGTCGTAAATGATGTTATGGTTGACAATTTATTAAAGACCGTTTTATTTTTTACAGACCGTTACAGATCTGGAGATGAACAATTGGACAATGGCATTCGGAATCCAGAATGCACGAGAATTTATGAATGAGTCTAACTGAAATTTAAGTTTACTTACAGATACCCACCGTTTCCACTCAATTAGCGAAGACGAGCACTTGCAGCAATTTGGCCACTTACAAGACATTAATTGAATTGACTAAATAAAAACATAAACGTATGGCCAGAGGAACCTGGAACCGAGCATAAATGAATCGAATTACAGATACGTGCCGTTTTAAACCTCATTAGGAGAAAGAGAGTACTTGCTGCAATTTCATGACGTAGCCATTCAGATGCTTTGATTAATTGGTGAGTTACAGCTACAGACAAAAAGAGTTAAACGAAGTAACAGAAAAAGTAGGGTAATAAAATAAAAATACTAGCAAAACATGATGAAAGATATCAGAATAAGAAGTATGACACAAAGGAACAAAGTTAAGAGTAAAACAAGAAGTGTAATATCGAAAATCAGATAAAAATGTTCAGTTAAAGTAATTAATTCTGAATTTGTTTGCAGAAAATAGATAGTTTATTGTGTAGATGAAAATATAAATTTGAAAAAAATAAGAGCAGCAAGCAACTAACGCAGAATATTATTAATCACATCATGTCAATGATATCAAAGTATGTAAACCAAGTTAAAAAAAAATAATTATAGTTGATTCAAAAGATGAGTAGAAAATAATTTGAATATACCAAAGTTATAGTTTAATGAATGTTTTAGAGTGAAATTGATAAAAAATAAATTATAGAAAAGATAATTATTGGTGATACAGTGAGAAAGGGAAAATCGATTTTGGATATCCTTGGATGTACCAGGTGGCGAATCTCAGAGACGGTCAACAGCGAAGGAAGAGTCACATTCAAAATGGCTAGATGACAATCGAAAGACAAATCATGCGGAAGATTGAAGATTGACGGTGTTGGTTAGGATCATCGGAAAAGTATAAGGAACAGGAAGATGGAATCGAGTGGTTTATCGAGGATAACAGAATTGATGAGCAATCTTTGGCATAAGCTCATCACACAGTATCTAAAAAGACAAACTACTTCAGCAACGGTTTCGCAAACATCATCATAAAACTACAGAACATACAACGTAACGTTTGATATGACATCATTACACATCAAACTCAAAAATGGCAATGAAGCACAATCAAGTACAAAACTAACGCCTGGTATGGCACAAACAATAAATTGACTAGCTGCATATATAAACACAGATAGAAAACAGTCGTGGATATAATCCAAAACAAGTTTACATCTTATAACGAAAATCATCGAAGATGTGGAATCAAACTACACCATAGAGAAAGTTGAAGTTCTAATAAGCACTAAAAAAGTTTCCAACAGAAACATACATAATGACGAGATGCGATCAGTACAAGACATAGATATGAAAGACGATGCAGGGTAACCTGAATGCGGCAAACAACGAATCATAGATGGCGGGGAATGGCAGATACACCCACACCTAATATTTGATATCAACCAAATGACGAGTCAGGAACAGCTTTCAATCGCACGGATGAACGAGCAGAAACGAAGGCGCTTTTACGAAAGGCACAATTGAGGATCACCCTAAGGTTAGGAGAAATATGGCAACAAGAAAGCACGAAATTTTCAAATGGAAGATTACCAACTCAAGCTTATTGATAATAATTTTTGAAAAATGATTCTCAAGCTCAGTAAGTAGGGGGGATGCAACAACCCCAAATTCTAATATCACTCCTTATAGTGAATTATTCGCAATAGTTCTATACAATGTTAACATTAAATATCAATTGCAACAAGAATGGTATAACTCAACTAAACGCATAATTAACGTAAGTCAGTTAGGCAAATTTTCATATCAGCAAAACGCGTGATAAAACTTGTTAACACAGATGATTTAGCCAAATGACAAAATTTAGTTAAAGTATGAACGACTGAATATGTTTATTAATAGTACAAAGTAGTCTCTTAAGAAAGGCACAGTAGGAGTAAGAACCATAGTAAGAAGATCCAGTAAAAAATTAGCAAATATAGAATAGATACCAGCGCATATCCTTGAGTAGAATCTCTTCGATATTATTCTCAAGCTGGTTAAGTAAGAGGGGATGCAAAGGCCTCAAATTCCAATATCAATCTGAGTAAGAAATTAACCAGTAATAGACCCCCATACGGTAGGAGCAAATACACAACTTAACAGCAGCAGTGACAATGTCGCACATTTCCAGGGTCAGTTGTTTATAAACAGTTGCTACCGCGTCGTCAGCGATGCGCGCTGGCTTAACTAGGTGCTTCGAGAAAGGTCAAAGTAAACATTGGTGAGTAAGCATCCTACATAGCCGTTCCTACCGCGAGGAGCATTAATTCTTGTTAAGACACCGACTTTCCAAGAGAAAAACTATCTGTCTCGCTTTATATGTACATACTGGAGAAAAACTATTGTGTAGAGTTTAAGTAACAAATTCATGTATAAAAGGTTTCGAATAATAAAGAATCGGGGCAGTTGTTCTGATGAGTTTATTATCCGAGGTTTGCTAGGTGCGGACGAGCACAGTTCCAACCTCAGGATAACTGATTCATCAAAGAGCTTTTTCCATACAGTAGAAATGGAATTGCACTGTCTTTCATTTTACGGAGAAAGAAAGACCACGCGAGTTGTTGCTCTACGTTGGGCACTTCAACACGGGAGTGAAACATGGATGCGCAACGGAGTATGGGCGCTTCAGCAATAGCCAGGAATCATGCCGAACAATTCTGGTCCAAGCAGCAGCAAGAGGCGTCTTCTGGAAAGTGAAGTGCGTAATGCACAGCCACCTCCGAAGTAATACGACAAGTGGTACCGGGGGAAAAGGGCAAGGCGTCCATGGAGGTTTTAGTGCGGTAAGAATCCCGCGACCGTGCGCCCGGTCGTCAAGCGGTGGCATGATGGCCTTTTTGAAGGTTTCCTCCTCGCAAAAAAAAATCAGACTTCTATAAATACATTTTATATAACAGATATGCCATTTTTTATATGAAGTAGACTTAATGCGAACTTGAATAATGAAAAGTTAAACAATAACCCATAATTAAGCAATGTCAATGATATTTCCTTTCATATAACCTTATAAGTTAATAAGTGGCTGTGGGATTTATTACCAATGGCGCCATTTGTTATAACTGTAACTAAAAGTATATGCATTTTGTAACCAAAACCTAGCATTGTTGCCTAAAAGTTGATAGATCTGACACAACTTGCAGTTAAGATAAAGTTATTGAAAAGTGTCTAAATTTTTATAAGAATCTGTAATAACTTTTCAAATATGTGTCATAGTGATACACAATCTTGAAGAAAAATGTGTATTTGGATATAATGTGTAACTTTGTAGAAAATTTGAAAGCATTAAAATAATTATACGCAAACTTATTAGCGAAAAACTGACTTTAAAGGGTTTTCCACAAACAATGCAACATATGTCGTCAACGTTTACAAATGGAGTGTTGCCGTTTTCGACAAAGTTGCAAATTTAAAAAAAATATCATCCTAATACGTGGATACACTATCGCCCTAAAAGCACATACGAAAAGATATACTATTTTACGTCAATAAACTTTTTCAAAGACATTATCCTTGTCAAATCGCACATTTCCAAGGAATTAAAAAAACGCGTGATTTTTAATAGGTTCCCTCCAGTGTGAAATCGCCAAAACAGAATGTACCCAAAAACGGGTAAACTATGTTGGGAGTGACAAGTTGACAAACGAACAACATCGATCGGATTCAGTTCGATGTTGTTCATTTGTCAACTTGTCACTCCCAACTACATAAATGAGTAAAAGTTATTCATTTGTGAGTAACAATCACAGGAGAAGTTTTTGTGTGTGTAATCCAACGAACATTACCTTGCACTGGTGTATGAGAAGCGTCTTCCTCTGCTCCGGTCAGCGCTGAGCGGTGAACCACCACTATCCTTTTCCTTAACCCGTTCCAATGATGACTTTCCGGATTTGTCCCCTCCGCTTCGTATCATCGTACTATTAGGCGAAACGTCGCACTGCTTCTGAGTCATGAAAGACTCGTGCTTAGGCGGCAGTGGAGACTTCGAATCCGGACAGTGTCGCATTGGGCGCAGATTCGGTTTTCCGACATAATCGTAGCATTCCTGCAGCGAAACCGGTTGCATGCTGTACGGAGGCGTGTGGAACACTAGTTGCTCGTCGTGCAGTAGACTTTGGCCGAAGCCATACTCGCGTGGATTCGGATGAATGTGGTACCGGGCGATGTTGATAAAGTCCTGCAGATCTTGGGCCGAAGGTTTAAAAAAACGAGGCCCATTGCGATTGGATCCGAAGAAGGCACATCCTCCGACGCACCCGCAACGAATCGGATCACTGCTGTTGGCCCACACAAACCATAGTTTTTTGTTTCTTTCGTCGTGTAGTTTTAGATAGCTGGAATAATGTTAGAAAATGTTAAATTAAGCTTTAGTTTAACGGACAAATAACCTTACTTGTGCTGCACCAAATGCAAGCAATGTTCCGGGATGGGCAACGCCGAGGCAGCTTCAATGATTACGGGTCCCAGCGAGAGACAGCCCACCTCAAGCCAAGTTTCCGTCGAATCGATATCCCTGTTGCTGTTCCGGGTGGTGGAATGAATAGATGCGTAGACTTCCTCCTTATCTCGTCGGAAATGTTCTGATTCATGGTTACGTCGATTCGGTAACGATCCGTACGAATCATCTTTGGAATCGCGCCGATGTGCATGCGGCATTTGCTGTTGATGCTGTTCGGACGTTTTCTTCTGCTTGGTACCCGGCTCATCAACTCGTTTGTAGAGTGGATTTGTATCGTCCTTTTGCTCCGATTCATGCTTGAGGGAGTTTTGATGGCGAATCTTGGCGGATCGATTGCTGCCAGTTGTGTTGGTGTTGCTGTGTGAGTTTCCATTGCTGTGACTGAAATGTCCTCCGGTGGAAACAAACTGCCGCAGAAGGATGGTGGGAATCAACCCGGTGACACCGGATTTCACCTGCTGGCCGTGTAGGTTGCAGGTGGCGATTCGAATGGGTGACATCCACGTGTGCAGAGCGGTGCCATTTTCCATCAGATAGAAGTCTACCGCATCGATTGCTACACGGGTCATTCGGTACTTGATGTCCTCCGTCGATGGGCAGCGGTACTTGGCATCTTCTTTGGTATGGGGGCACACATTGGTAGGAATTCCGTGGTGGCAGTAGCGGACGGTTTTTGGAGACTTGAGTTCATTTTCCGAATCCATCGTTAGAAAGGCCAAAGTTTCCAACCCGGTTACGACGTTGCACAGTTGGGGAAGGGTCATCTTACCGGACAGCTTTCCCAGTTGCACCTCCAGCAACCAAGCGTATTCGAGGGTTTCTTCGTCTAGCTGGCGGCCTTCATTGCTGAACATGGCATGTCCACGAACCTGCACAGCCGACAGCAGCAAGTGGCCTTGCTTCAGGTGTTTGTCCTTTGATGGGCGGATCGAATTGTCCGACGATATGAGAAACGATGGACTAACCAGCACCTGCAGTTCCGTTTCGTGGAATCGCTTTTTCATCTCGAATCCAAGCCGCTCGATTAACACCACCGGACAAGGGGGATCATTTTCGTTGCAATTTTTTATCACATGCGCCTGCAGATCGTGTATCGTAACGTTTACGATGACCTCCAATGGACGATACAGTCTCGGATCGAATCGCTTCGGTTTTTCGTCCGCATTGACACTCGTTTCCGAAACGGATTTATTCGGATCATCTTTTGAGCTAGTTGATTTAGTACCACCACCTCCGCTTCGCCCGGTTGAGCTTGATTTAGCGTTCGAGTTTTCCATATCTGTAAAGGATTGATCCTCCCCGAAGATGTTCTCTTTCAGATGAATAAAATTTCTCAAAATAGCACCATATGCGAGCATTATGGAAGAACCGATCTCAACGTCAACCGATACTTGATCCGGAGGTAAACTGGTGGGATCGAATCGCGGCTGTCCGGCGTCATTCCACGTGATAGCTGGAGATTTTCGCATTTTCGGTATGCGCATAGGACTGAGCAGGATCTCCTCCTTCTCGGGAGTGGTGATGTCCGCTTGGGGATCTGGCCCGAGCGGTGGCATCGGATGGTAGAGGTATTTGATAGAGAGAGCTACAATCGGAACGGTCCAGCAGTCGATCCAACCGGCCGAACGCAGACAAACCCGTCGCCACTTTTTCGTAATCAGGTCAGTTCGTTTTTTTATGCTGCCGTCACGTGTCAGGATGTGAGCGTTTTTGTCCAGCGCGACTAGAATGGGTTTAGTACTGGATTGCTCCGGGAGATACATGCTGAGATCCAGGCCTTCGCCGTGAATCCAGAAAACGATGGGGATTTTCAAAGGGAGGAAATCGTCGAACGGTAAGGTGAAACCGAGATCAAACAGATCACCACAGAAAGCGAGATGGTGATTTTCCTGATTCGTACTTGAGCAGTCGATCCAGTTGAACTCGTTACTCAGGGTGATGATTTCGAACTCTTTTAGGATCACACCAAACTTCCACGTGTACGGAACGAAACTGAGAATGTCGGGTCGAGTTTTGGATGCCCAATCGTCGATTAGATCGGCGAAAAAGTATTTGTGGGAGTAAACGATGTAGGCGGTTGCTTTGGTCCCTGTCAGATTTATACTCCATTCTTGGTGCTCGTTCCAGCGGACTGGATAGTGAACTTTAACGTTGAATTGTAGCGTTTCACATTCAGCGAGACTTCGGTACTGCAGACTAGTTGTAGCTTCCACATGTAGCAATTGCCCTGTCAGTTTGGTTGTGAAGCCATCCTGGAGGGTGATCCAAGGAAGGGTGACTTCCAAACATGAACCGGCTCCGATGTTCACATGAACAGCGTTTGTTTCTTTGTTTTTAGAAAACAGAATATCGATTGTCGCTTCGTTCAGTGTGCACAGATTTATGTCAAAGGATTGCATTTCTCGACGATCGCCAGGTTTCGGTGGTTTTGTCACTTGCATCGCCTGGTAGTCTGGAGGGAAAAAGAACTTGAACAAGTTATCCCTTTGACGGTCTGCCCATGGACCGTAGCTGAAATCGGTGCCTTTGCCACATTTGATGTCGATTCCCCAAACGGGTGGAGCTGCTTCCACTACGTCTCCATTTGCAAGCGTCAAGGTTACCGGTTCCTCCGGAACAACGCCGGCTTCGTCCATGTAGAAATACAGTTGAATGTTGTTGGACATCATGACAACAAATCCCTCACCCATATATCGAGGTGGTTCGTCAACCAATCCTGTATACTTAGGACTTGGCGCTAGTAGGACTTTCGCATTCTCGACTTTCGCCTTGACAATGTGCATAAAATGATCCAACTTGGACACTGCTGGCTTGGTGCTGTAGACGCAGCGCGCCTCTTCTACCCAAATCGAAAGCGTTGTCGGCGTCAGACGATTTCCAAACACAAACCTTCCGGAACATATGTCAATCTTGATCACCGGAATCAAATCACGCCACGTTGTAGCAGTCATGGCTTCGGGCCTCGGCTTCTTCACCTTGGCTTGCTGTTCGTTGCTCTGCCGTTGATTCTCATAGTTCATTGCTCGCTCTTTGAAACGTGCAATTTCTTCGGCACTCATATTGTCCGTTGGCATCAGAATCGAAGGCTTCAATCCGAATGTTCGCTCCAGTTTGGCGTACAGATCCGATCGATTGTACACATGCAGCTCGAATCCATTCAGCATGACCGACAGTCTCGTGTCCGAGTGGGACAAGTCTTCCGATACATCTTTCGGAACGTACGATCTCCACCAACGGACTATGAAATAGCCATCCTGCACGCGAATCGTGTAGTCATAGTTGACGTAAACAACATCTCGAAACATAATCTTTCCGGCAAGAGGGTTTACATTGAGCGAGCCAATCTTGAAATAAGCATCTCTTATGAATAGCCGATTGACGAGTTTGGTGATAAAGTAGCCGAAAACGCGTGAATTGTAGAATGTGATGTACACCACCCAAACGATCGAGGAGAGTAACGACAGCAGCAACCACACCTTAAAAATAAACCAAAAATTATTAGTTTCCAACAGAATAGGGCGCACTTTATAAGAACCGCCACCTACCATATTCTTGTCCAGTTTCATGTCCTCGATCGACTGAGTCGTGTTGAACTGACCCATGCTCAGGTCCAGATCGATAAGATCTGGCTCCTCCGACACTTCGTAGCTCATTTTGATGCCGCGTTTGCGTTAGACGTAATCCTACAAGTAGAAAAGCAAGTTAAAAAGTGATTATAAGTACCTATTCCCAGCAAAAAAAAGTAGCAACTCTTAACGCGACTCGCGATTGCGAAATACAACTATAAAAAGTGCGACCTTCGTTAACAGCACTATATGAGCGGGGTGAACAAAGAGTATAAAAAAACAAGTCCACCACAGAACGATGCTCCTCAACAGAAAAAAAAAATATGTAGCGCAAAGGTCAACGCACGTTTTCTGATAGTACTATTATATTCTCAACGACGAGCGAGTTCACAACAAGAAGCAACTGGTGTTCGATAGCGGTTCACCGTCAATCAGCTGTTTGCCAGACGCAGGGAAAAACGAAAATAAACCGAGACGCTTTCTCCGCTTGCATAAAAAACGTAAACAAACTTCTCCCAACCACCCACTGTTCAGAATCAAAACAAAAAGACAGCATTCACTCCCACAACCACCCACCCCTCCCAAAAGTGTTCTTTGGAAAATGACAGCACACTGCCAGCCAAACTTGACAACCGTGGAAAATCGATTTCGGAACGGGAAGTACTTTTACAAATCAATATTTAATGGCTGGCTGAAAACTACGTATGACGCATTTCGGCCGATAATCACGTCGATTTCTAACGAAAAGCATTACTTCAACGCGAAACAATACGCTTATCAGATAATCAAGTCCTTATCAGCTGAATTAGTCATCGATCAGTCTCTTTTCAGGCGCAAATGGCCTAGACCCACCCAAATAGGTGCTAGTTTGTTGTGTAATTTTCTCCCACAAAATGCACCACCAAGCACGCACAGAACCACGAAAATTTATCTTCATCCCATTGCTTACCTTCTTAACTTGCTAATAAACATAAATATATTCCATGAATTTAAATAAAAAGCACAATTTTCTACGAAAAACTAAACATCACAGATTGATTTGCAAACACGATCGCCATCTTGTTTTTCCTATTTTGACAGTTGTTCGATGGCCACAGACTGAGGTACAGATGGTCAAACAAGGTACGAATCCTTAAAACACAATTTTCCGTCGTTTTCCATAGCTTTGCCTGATAATTTCGAAACAAAGAGAAGGAGAATATTAATCGATTTTTTCAAAACCAAAGAACCTTAAATAAAACCTCGAAACAGTGCAAATAATGCACTGTAAGCATCAAGCTGAGCAGTGTCAATATCTGTCTGTACGATGTTTACGGTAATCATGCTGGCGAAAGTTGCCTCATGGGATTGTAGGCTACAACATAGCAGATCCACCAGATGGGCTCATTCACACAGCCTGCCAGAATGTTTGTAAATATTCCCGGCACGAAACAGACAATCACTTTGTTAATGCATGATTTTTTATGGATATCGACAATCAATCACTCATGTCCCGAAATAATCCGCTGTTCCGACTCATTTTCCTAACCATGAAGAGTGTTTTTCATTGAAGAAAACTGTTTTGAAATATGTACCGCTGTGGCGTCATTTGTTTATGTTTACAATCGCGTTAGTTAATGCTGTGTCCGCTGGAGGTACGTTGATCTTTGAGTAAGGTTCCGCAAGTGAACGCAAGGTGGCAGCAGTCATTTTGCGATGAATACGGTCGTTAAACTTCCCCAGAAATAGAGTAGCTTCTACTCAGATGAAAGAAAATTTTCTTTACGGAAACCGCAAAATCGCAACAATGACTATTGGCAAATCAAAGTTGGCGCTCGTGGAGAATAGAAGAACTATAAAAGTGATGAGGGTTTCAAAATTTTCCGCGGGGAAGTATACGAGTGCAATCTTAAAATGCTTTTATTTTGCAAATGGAACATTTTATTTACATCTGGTTGCTGCTACAGTGGTAGAAAAGCTCAATTCTATGTGTACACCTAAAAATCTGAAAAGAAATTAATTTTTCTATATTATTTGTCTATTGAGTAGTCCTTAAGTTTTCTACTAACATAGCACCAGCCAGATTTAAATAAAATGCTCCATTTGCAAAATAAAAGCATTTTAAGATTGCACTCGTATACCTCACGGTGTAAAATTTTGAAACCATCATCACTCTCATAGTTCTTCTATTCTCCACGAGTACCAACTTTGATTTGCCAATAAAGGACTCAATTTTGACTATAAAGTATGCATATTCGGCTACAACGGGACTACACCTTATATGTGTGTATTTTTTACACCTTTTATGAGTATCTGTAACTCATAAATGCAAAAATTTATGGATTTTTTTTTGTAAAATTTTAGTTAATACACAGACAAACAGACGTAACTCTTTGAAAAAGTTTTTCTTGAAAACATAGTATCTCAAAACATAGGTCCTCAGTAACGACATCTCTCTGGCTTCTCGCGGAAAACAAGCTTGCTCGCTAACTCGCAAACAATATTGCATAAAAGTTCTATAGAATGTATAGAAACGTCAAAGTGATCCGATGCCAGCGCTGCGGCGAGTAGTTCGCGGAACTGATAACATTCAAATCATCCCTTAAATTACGTGAACGAAGATACACAATGAAGTGTTACGTCTGTTTGTCTGTGGTTAATATATGGGTGGTCCCGTTTTCTTTAAAAAATGCGTTCTTTATAGTCATAAAAGAGTATTTTTACTATTACCGTGTGTGTTACTCGACTAGCTCTCTGAGAAGATGAGATTGAACGGCCGTGAAAAGATTGCATGCACGCTAAGATCAGATAACCCAAATGTAGGTTTACTTTACGCAAATCAGGCGTAAACTGCACAAACTCAGATATGGGTAAATTTTTTAACCCAAATATGGGTAAATTTAAGTCAAATTTGCATAAAAATAAATCATTTATGGATCATAAGAACCCATATTTAGGTTAAAAAAATTACCCATATGTGAGTTTGTGCAATTTACGGTCAATCTCGGTAATCTCTTTGTACCGTCTGGGTAAACTGATCTTAGCGTGTGGACAATCAAAGTAACACATAGCCTGCGTCAACTGAATATCTTTTCACAGCCCAAATCTGACACCTTTTTTTTACGGAAGAGAGTAAAATTTGTAAGCGAAATAATTCAGTGTGTAAGTTGAATGAATGCACGGGCGAAATGTAGAACCAGTTATAGCGACATCTTGTGGTAAATTCAATAGTATGAACGCATTGAAAATGAAATAAACTCAGAGAGATAGTTACTTTTACTCAGTTGTGAGTAACTGTTACTCATTCGTTATTACTTAGCGTGACAGTAATGTTTACTCATTCATAGGGAGCAACTTCTAAAAGCGTACACTTATAAATTAAACTAGTCTCATAATCAATTAGACATTAAACCCTGTTTAGTCATATCGAATGATTAAAAATTAAGAGGCAACTAACCATCACTCGAATCACTGAATCTCATAGGTCACCAACGAGGAACCGAATAATTCGTTTATACATATTTTTCAGGCATATTTTTCAAGTCAATCAGTTGCAACGATTAATTCCCTTTATATTTAGATAATATTTAGTTTTAGTTTTGTTTTAGCTTTAAGATGACAATTGGGTTCTTTAATTTTGAAAAATATATCGGTTTTTATATATCATCTGAAAGAGCTTCGTTTTCTGAGCACAGCGATATTTTTTTCGAACCCACACACTTTCATCTCGATTTTTAAATCAAGATTTAAAGCAAAATAATAATTTCACTGTTTGACACTAAACTAACAAACTGACAGCTCGCTCCCATACAAAGTGACACCGAGGGGCGCTAATAAGGTGATTTTTGCAAATGCAATCGTAATTATTTAAAATAGTGCCAGTGTACCAAAATTGATGAAATTTTGAGTTTGGGTTCCATTTTTAATGCAGATTACGAATATGCATTTACCTCAATACCCTTAAAGAACCCAATTGTTATACCACAGACAAACAGACGTAACACTTCATTGTGTATCTTCGTTCATGCATTTAACGGTTGATTTGAATATTATCAGTTCCGCGAACTACTCGCCGCAGCGCTGGCATCGGATAACTTTGACGTTTCTATACATTCTATAGAACTTTTATGCAATATTGTTTGCGAGTTAGCGAACAAGATTTTTTTCCGCGAGAAGCCCGAGAGATGTCGTTTCTGAGGTCTTATGTTTTTAAAATACTATGTTTTCAAGAAAAACTTTTTCAAAGAGTTACGTCTGTTTGTCTGTGGTTTAAGTTCCAAAAAACGTCTTTTTAGTTTTATTTATTCAGTTTTTGATACTTATTCACCATTAAAAACATCCACTCATCTAAGTTATTGTTTTAATCTTCGTATTTGCATGTTTTAATCTCGGTTTTAATAAACTTATATTCACTGATAGAGGTAATACATCTAGCAAGTCTTGTTCAATGATTGTTTTACCACCGACAAACCGACATGAATGACCATAGCAAAAACAATAAAATTTCTGACCAAAGCACACTAATAACATCTGTCTCCGGGTTCGCGGGAAATATTTAGCTAAGCCATGAGCCCGTATGCAAAAGTTATGAATTCTTTCGTGTCTGATAAATTATTTTTATCTAGATAAAAAAATCCTATGGTTTTGACAGTTCGGATCACTGCACATTTAAATCGACCGTTTACGATTTTCGGGCATAAGTCAGAATTAAGTGTCATGTTGGTTTGTCGGTGGTTTTACGTTCGCTAGGAAAGAAGTTGAGACGAAATGATTTTCTTGGTGTTTTATTTTGTACACCAAGAAATGTGTTTATATTAATTTTGTGTATTCGTTTGTGATTGTGGTTGTTTTAATCATTGATGATTCTATTTATTTTTATTTTTGATTACATTTTAATCATTTTTGATTTTATATTAATATTTTAAAAGAATTTTATCACAAGTGATTATTTAGAATTTAATCATGCATGACTACTGTCTGCCTCGGACCGAAGACATCATATCAAGAAGACTGGCAACTTTTCCAGAATCCAAGCGACAGATACAGTAGCGATGCGCTTGAGAGAAGGTGGAAGCAACGCATAGAAAAATGAGCAAATACACAAACATCTTAATAATAAAAAAGTGACTTTTTCATTGTTTCAGCATATTTAAAATTCGAAATTTATGTGTTCTCCCGTACAATAATGTAACAATAAATTATAATGTACTGGAAATTCAACATTAAAAAGTAGAACAGGGAGGGTACGAACGGAAGCTTGACGTAGGACCGCTAGTGGATGGAACAAATATGTTGTTCATTTAGTTCTTAGCTCTTTCCGTTTTTGAATTGGTGGCCCTGAAAAGGGCCAGTTGTTTTTCAAATGGTGGCCACACCAGTGCAAGTCAATGCCAACCAGATGACGGCGGCCTAGTCATGCTTCCTATTGCGGGAAGCCTTTTCTCCGGTCGATGTGGGTGTATTGTATTGGTGCGATGCGTGCTGTTCCACTCACATGTCGTGTCCGACGCTTATCCGTCCGTTGCTCGAAAGCAAATGACGAAGAACACGATTTGACAAGCGTTTTTATCATCGCTGCTTTTCTCCTCGCTTCCTTTCATTGGTCGATCAATCGAGCATTGAGCTCGCTCATGTGAGCATGCATGAAGTGTCGTCTGTTCGATTTGTGCTCTATCGTTGCGTCCGTGTTTGGAATATTTCGTTACAATGTGACCCCCAGTATAGAAATTAAAGACATAGTCCTACGTCAAAATCATTGTTCTTACGTTGTTTTATTATAATTATATTTTTTTTCGGGTTTTGTTGTCTTCGCTCGGACTCAATAAGGTGAAGCGGAAATTGGCGTACTTTTTAACCTTTTTTGATTTAATTTATTTTTGAGTGTAGGTTACTCGTGCGCTGAGTGACCTATTATTTTAGAAATATCTCCATACAATTGAGTAAAAGTGACTTAAAACTGGGTAACTCACTCTCAGAGATAGTTTAGTTTTCAGTGTAGCGGGGAAAAGCCCAAAAACAATTTTCGCTCAGAGAGTGAGCCACTTTCACTTATTCGTTGCTAAGAGAAGAGGTGACAATACG